TATTGAAGTGCTGATTATTGAAGAGATGTTGAGCTTCTGGCCCTCTGGAAAGCCACAGACATTGCCACTGGAGCTCCTCTAGGCACCAGTGTGCAATGCACCCAGCTAGAGTTCCTTGTCCAAAATCAAAATCAAAATGTAACCAAGCAGGTTCAGTGGTAACTACAAAGTGACCTGGCAATTTGGTTGAGGCAAATCTCCTTCCTCTCTTCTGTGACTAATCTGGCTATTTTCTCCTACACTCCATGCAAATTTATAATGGCTTCCCAATTCTTTTTCCCCCTATTGCTTCTTATTGCCAAATCAGTTAAGTGTGTGTTAACTCATTTCCATTGTTCTTCTAGTCTTCTTGTGTGTTGGTGACTTCCTCCTTTATCCAAAGACTGTTGGGGCTGACTCCAAATGCTGTATAAACTAGAAGATGTCCTCTTCACCCTCAAGTTATTATTTGGTACCTAGGACTCTCAGAAACAGCCTCTTCTGTACCTTTATTCTAGTTGCTTCTTGCTCTGGAGGCTGCCTTTGTCAGACTGAGATTTTTGCATGAACCCAGTGTCCCTGTTGCAAAATATGCCTCCATGAGACATACTGCGCAGATGGCAAACAATAGCTATCTCCTGCCAGGGAGGAAATCCATTTGTCATTGTTTCATCATCAGTCCCCATTGTGTTGCCTTCAGACAGACCCATTCGTCAAGACAAGTTCCAAAGTGCTGGTGTTTAGCAGGGATACTATACAACCCCTGTCTGTTCAAATGCAAGTCCTCCCACTGTGGTTTCTATTATTGCTCCTTATTTCTGTTACAAGGATGTCTAGAAAGACCATCTCAGGTCAACAGCCTGTTTGCAGGGGGTGTTTAGTTTTGATTCCTGAGTGGACTGTTCAGAATCTGAAACCTTTTTCCTGACAGCCTCTTCAGTCTAAGTGAGATTGAATGGTTTTATTTAGTCAGCTGAAGTAAGATGTGAGCTTGCATGCACCACTCCCTATGTGTTACCCACCACACCTGCCAAATACTTACACTGAGAGGACCCCATTTTGATGGATCTTGGAACCTTTGTGGAAATGGCAAGACAAAGGTATGGAAAAGAGCAAAAAGACATCCAGGGATTCAGAAACTGGAATTTGAATTCTTCTTCCAGTGGATTACTCACCTATTAAAGCTTTCTTTCAAAACTGGAATCTTCGATGTTGGTATACTGAGATCTGCAGAAAAATACATGCTTTGAAGGAACTTCTCTGGTCATGTAGACAACCTGCAAAGCAAAGAGCATAGGATTAGGTCCTGTGACTCCTACGGACAAGGAAAGCAGTACTCAATATCATGTGGCTGTGTCACTAGACCGAGGACTGATGCAAAGTGTCCTTGTATGTCAGGAGGAGTGATGGGTACTGCAGTGTCTGTGCCATCACAGAATCACAGAATCGCCAGGGTTGGAAGGGACCTCAAGGATCTTGAATCTGCAGCCCCTCTGCCACATGCAGGGCCACCAATCTTCTCATTTAATGCTAGACCAGGCTGTCCAGGACCCCATCCAGTCTGGCCTTGAACACTTCCAGGGACGGGGCATCCACAAGCTCTCTGGGCAGCCTGTTCCAGTACCTCACCACTCTCTCTGTAAAGAATTTCCCCCTGATGTCCAACCTAAATCTCCCCTCCCTCAACTTAAAACCATTTCCCCTTGTCCTGCTGTTACCTACCCTTTCAAAGAGTTGATTCCCCTCCTGTCTGTAGGCTCCCTTTAGGTACTGAAAGGCTGCAGTGAGGTCACCTCGCAGCCTTCTTTTCTCCAGGCTGAATAAGCCCAGCTCCCTCAGCCTGTCCTCATAGGGGAGGTGCTCCAGTCCCCTGATCATCTTCATGGTCCTCCCTCTGGACCCTCTCCAACAGCTCCCTGTCTTTTTTGTACTGGGGGCTCCATACTTGGACGCAGTATTCCAGATGGGGCCTCACAAGAGCAGAGTAGAGGGGAACAATCACCTCCCTGTCCCTGCTGGCCACCCCTCTTTTGATGGAGCCCTGGATACTATTTGCTTATTGGCTAGAGGCAGGGGTGTGCGCTGAGCTCTGGGCCAGAACGGTTCTGTCTAGATGAACCTGACACAAGTCTTTGGACTTGCAAGCCTCATTTGTTTAGATTTGTGGCATTATCAGCCAGATTTGCTATTCATAAGGTAGCAGTAAGTGTTTACCTGCCATGGGGAAGCTCAAAAAGAGACTAGGAGCTGGTTGGAAAAAGTGTCCTTGAGACGGCAGCAGCAGCCATAGAAGCAAGATGAGGTATTAGAAAAATATTATGTAAGAAATCTAAAGGCATTCAATTTGGGGTAACCTGAAGTCATGAGAATGCAACTGGAAGGGTGGCTGTGGAGTTCATCCATAAAGACAAAATGTGCTGGAGTGGGAGGGTTTATCCAGAGACTGAAGCAAGGATCAGTCCAAGTCTGGGGGTTATCTAGAAACAGTGGTGTGGGAACACTGTGTCAGAGGCACTGAATTAAGGGGTTTCTGGCCAGGGTGTTTAGTGAGGGAGGGTTCATAACAGTAAGCAAGCGGATGCTGCTAATCAGAACAATATGGAGGAGGGAAGTATCCTTCATACTGTTGGGTTTTTCTTTTTCCTTTCTTTTTCTCTCTCCTCTCCCTCCTAGAATGTATATCATCTTCAGTATGGGGGCCTGGGGATGTAGCTTGGTGAACTGAAAGCAACGAAGATAGGCTGTGTTACAGAAGCTGAGGGTATAACACATATAGACCTAATTATGCAATCTACAAATAAAAGAAGAGCTCTGTGTACCCGAGAAATCACAGAAAGGTTTAGTGTTTCACCAGGAAGCTGACAGCACCGCAGTGGACCACAATTAAGACTTTAAAATATGTAACAGCATTTTTATGACATCAAAGTCCTGTTGCCACACAAAGCAATGTTTATGAAAAGATCCTGCTCTTCACCCTACAATCATGATGTACATATTGGCAATAAGGAAGTCAGCAATAGCTATTTACTGCTCTCCTGCAGCTGTGGACTTATAACTTAGGTCCTTAATTAAGTAGAAGCAGGGCTAACCACGAAGCACACCACAGTGCCTTAAAATGGCTTTCATACTGCGGAAATCTGGTGTTTGGTTACTCCAAAGAGTGGGTTTTTTCCCCTTGAAAACTATATTTGCACATTCAGAAATAATTATCTGAAGATTTGAAAAAAATGCTGTCTTGATGCACCATGAGATCTAAAGAGCTTTTCATGGAAAGCACTTTAAAAAAATATCCCACTCTATATGGGAGATATTGACACCAGCCCCAATTTTGTCATCAATTGTGAGCAGTTGTTAGCAAAGAAACTAGTCATGCTGCACAAAAGAGATCACAGCATGTGTGTAAATCTGCATAACCTAATTGACTATCTTGGGAACGTGATATTCAGCTGCAAAAACCCACTTTTCACAAAACAAAAAAATTAAAAAGGAATGTCGCATCATTATGTTCTTTAAATATTACAGGAACTGCAGTAAGTGCATCTTGGCAGAGACAAGCCTACATCATTAGTTCCTCTCCTGGTTGCTTTCAGGTTTTTTGTTCCACATGGCCTGTCTTGACAGGACAACAAATAGGCGTTTTGCATCTGTACACATTTATTAGTGGATTTTATCGTTGGACATCAAGGAAATTGAGTCTCATCTAAAGGTTTATGACTGTACACATCTGTGGATTTTATTACCCTGCTTTCAAACAAACAAACAACAGCAGCAGAAAATTATTTTTGGAAAGTACCGTTTAAGATTTAATAATCATTTGATGTTCAGAAAGGTCCTTGGCTGTTTGTCCAAATGTTTGCTGAACATTTGGTGAGTGCTTTGGTTATTAGTAGAGGTACGTGTGTAGGAGGCTGGGGGCAGATAGTCAGACTTGCTTCTTCCTTGCATGAGAAGGTGATTTGTATAATTACACCTTTTTCTCTGCTCCCAGGATAGCTAACTTCTTATGGATCATGTTTAGAGACAACCTGCCATGGGGAATAGCCACCTTAGTACATACAGAAATTCTGCTTCTAACTGATGAAACACAAAGGAGTTGCAAAAGGGAACTGGGGAATAATATTGCTCTGTGCTTCTCTTGCTCTACTTTAAGATTTCAACACATTCTAACTTTGCTGTTGGGCTATAGAGAGGCTGAAATCTAGCAAGGTAAAACAAGGCCCAAACTGTCCGCATGCTGTACTCGTTTAAATTCCTGATGAAAGCAGGGGTTGAAAGGATTTGTTCAATATTTCCTCATAATCAAAGTCCTACACAGCTCCTATGACAGGAACTTCACACCTGACTATAGTCTGAGCTGTCTGTCATATTTAAAAATAAATAAATAAAATCAGAATCCCAAAGCAAATCTTGGAAGCAAGACCTGGGTGTAAAACGAAAGGGTATATGCCTCATATTTCAAAGGGCCTTAAACAATAATTCTGGGTGAATTGCTGTCTATTCTTAATGCTGTGTTTATTCAGAAATCTAGAGATTGCTTATATCCAGTGTTCTTAAATGTACTGCTAATGATAATTTGAGATTCAAACATCCGAGTGTGTTTCATTGGAAAAGGACTCTTCCAGGTGAAAATTGAGATTGTAAGTTAATGGAGCCTGTTCAGATTAACTATGTTTTGTTTGTGAGTATTTTAATAGTTAACATGAAGGAGGACTGGAAGCTGATTTTTAACTTAATTATTTTCAGACTAGGGAAATGGATGAGGGAGGACTTCTGCCTAAGAGTAGATTCTTACTATCTATCTTACACAATAGATGATATATCATCAAAACAGATATATTCAACCTACTTTTTTTCAGCTTGCAAATGTTTCAGCTGAGATTCTCTTTTTCAGCTGAGAGAGTGAGCAGCATAAAAATCCTGAAAAAATGGTCACTGTTTTGTAGTGAGGAGGCAAGACTCTCAGGTCACCTTACAGACTGATTTTTACTCTCATGTGTGCTAATGTTTTTGCTTTGAGACAGACTTTCACACACCAGACCATGGAGAAAGAGCCTGGAGAAAGTGGAGAAGGAATGATCGTTCATTGACATTTCCCATGCAAAATGGCAAATGAAATGCAAGGGCAATGGGTTCAAGACAAGTTGAAGGAAGTGGCTCTTTGCACAACAAAATACACTGACCTGTGACACAACAAAATGCACTGACCTGTGACACGTTGTCAACGTAAATTCATATGGATTCAGAAAGTCACTGGACAAATTAAAGAAGAAAATTGCACCGAAGTCTGGTACATGCAATGGGTGACACCTCTGAACAGTGATTTGTGTGTGTGTCTGTGTGTATATGTGTTTTAATGAGAACATTAGGAGAACATTCCATGGAAACATTACAACAGAAAACAGCATGTCACTCACATTTTCACTGGAAATCTTTTTTTTATTTGGCTACCCTAAGACAGGCTGCTGGGCTTACATGATTTGTCCCCAAAGAGGAGACTTTCCTTCCTCCCTGCTGTGATCACGATGGTCTATTCTGAGCCCCACTTCAGGACATATGCCACGTTCAATCTCACTCCTATGTGACCACCAGAAGTCTGGAGCATGGCCAGGGCCTCCATACAGACCTCCCAAGTCCATGTGCTGTAGCCTGACCTCAAGATCAGATTGTATTGTCATTGCTCTTTTAAATGGGGTTGTCTGCATATAAGAAGAGCTGCATGAAGGACTAAAATAATAATCATCTTAAAGACATTTAGCCATTGATTTCACTATGGGACCCTGCAGGAAGCCCTAAGAGCAAGTCCACAGGATAGAGAATGGAACAGTTATGCCTTTTGGTGTGTTGTTGCAGCAAGCTATTCAACAGTTGTGTAAAAGCAAAGTTTAGAGAAACAGTTTCTTGCTGGGAAGAATAAATGTATGTTTTTTCTATACCACACAGTGCAAGTGAAACTGCTGCTGAGGTGAAGAAAGCCTGTGGCAGTTCTTCTGCTCAGTCATTTGTAAACCTTTGAATGAGTTCCCAATGTGAATTGTTACTCCACTCTGCAGTGGGCTACTTCTTGGCCAGCTCAAAGAAGCCCCAGAAAATATTGCACCCATATGCGCTCTTTTTTTTTTTTTTTAACATTCTCATTAACTTTATAAAACCCACAAATTTAGACCATCTGTCCTATAAATGTTTCTAAACTACACCAAGATGAAAAAGCTGTTCTAGTTTTTTGATATAAGCAGTCAGCAAACCAAACACAAAACCAGAGCAAAGCAAATATTTTCTTGTCATACATGCTTCCCAACCGTGACGGATGAACTGTTATTTTTGATATGTATTTGGATCCCAGTTTTGGAGAGAAATGCCTCCTAGATATGTGCACTTAACACCAGACCAGTTTGATATGAGGAATTCTCATTGGGGAGGGGGAAACAGAGGGAAAGTTGCCCCACATGCTGCCCATGGACTGTATTAAGAAGCTGTTTCTTCAATTATATGTGTTCCAACTGCCCTGTTGACTGCTATAACAAAGCCATCTCAGGCATGGATTGTGTCAGCCCAGTCTCAGGTAAGGTGTTTGCACTTCCTTCAACCCACCTCTCTCTTGGTTGTTAATCCAGGAATATTTATTGTCCCCACGTGAAACTCCAAGGTGTGGCTGGAGCATGATAATGAAGAGAGGATGTTTGCAGGACTTGGCTCACAGGTGGGATTAAGACCATGTCCTTGTTCACAGGCAAACTCAACAGCAACCAGTGTGTTGAGAAAACCTTCAATAACGTGAGTGGTAGAATGTGGAAATCTCACTTGAGGTCCCTTTTCCTGGCGTTACCATGGACACAACAAATACCCAGCTTAAATTCTCCAGGAATTGGAAGGCACTGTTTAAATTGTACACTCTGCTTTGGAATTTACAGCTAAATGGAAAAAGAGAGATCTGTTCTGACTGTGTCCAACTGCCTTTTAAAGTTCCTCTGCTTTTGATACATTACTGCTATAGAGGCCAGATCTTCACCCAAATCCTGGGTCAAGAACACCTTGTTTTGTAGGATACACTCTGAGTTTATATGTAAAGATATTCTTCCCTGTTTTCTTTGGGTATATTATAGCACTTACTATGCAATTTCTACAGGTTTTTTACAATGGCCTGTCAGTATGTAATTGGGAACTGAGGAACCGTGAATGGACCAATTTAAGAGTGGCTGTGAACGCTCAATGGAGCACCATAGTGAATTGTCCTGTCATTTTCCTGAAGGAAGAAGGCTTTGCCAACAGTGTGGGATAAATTGTTGTATGTGCAAGCAGTGCTAGGGTTTGGAGGTTTTTTTTTTTTGTTTTTTTTTGGTTTTTTTTTTTCCATTGAATTCAGCCTGCTTACCTTCAACCATTTCAGTGGCAGTATCTACAGCTGATACAGTACTCTGGCTTCTGTTTATCATTACTAGGGGGTTACAGATACTTCCTGAGCACAATTCATCTGACCTGTTTTAATCATATACTTTTGAGGTGAAATGGGACTTCAAAGTGTATATTTTTCTATGCTGTGTTTGTAGGAGCAGTTGAGACAAAAGGCTTGTAGCTGTCTTTGTTTGAGCTTAGGAAAGCATTCTAAATGTTAGTGCTTCATTGTACTACCATCTATTTTTGCCCATGAAGCTGTGGTGCAAAAAATGAAGTCCCAGTCAAAACAAGATAAAAGCTGAGCTGTGATCACCATTGCCATCACTTCCTGACTCTTTTGTGGTATTTGAGGTTTCTCCATCTGTACTTGCCCAGCACAAGACTGATTCCAAAATAATACTTTTCTTTTAATTTTCTACCTTCCATTGTGCATTCCTTCAGGCCCTGCCTGCTGATTACCCAAGTTGGCAGCTGGGCTGAGGAGGCACTGGAGCCCTAAGGTAGGCTGAGCACCCAATGCTCTTGTGCTGGAAATAGCTGCCTGATAGCTGAGACAAAGACGAGGATGAGGACTGGGCAGGCAAGATCTGGCAGAAATGTAGGGGCCTGTCAGTGCTTACCTGCAGGCTCCTCCAAGCACAGTGTCATTTTCAGTTTGTTTCATCCATCTTCTCAGTACTGTGAGAGCTGAGCCTTTTAACCCAGGTCAATGCTGTACCTGGCTCTCTCAAAAGGACATGGCAAGCTTTGTAAGGCAGGCAGTGGTATTCCTCTTCATAGAGCTTCGCTTCTCATTTGGGAAGATGAAGGTTTATTCTTCCTTGCTAGTTTTGGATCTTGTAAGCTGTGTCAGTTGAAATGTGTGTTGAACAAAGCAACTACTTCAAGGAACGACAGATTTCATGAAACAGATGTATTCTCTATGATGTTGAGACAAACTGGTAAATAATTTTGGCTTACAAGTACTGTGTGGATGGAAGAGATTTTGAAACTGTGTTGGCACCTCAGTACTATGTATTTTTAGAAATTTTAAACATCTAAGCTAGTTTTACCTGAATAGAGCTCCTAGTGATTAATTTGTGTAATCAAATTTTAAGCACGAAAAGGAACTTGACTGAAAAAAAGCATATAAGTCAGACTATGGACTACCTCCTTTGGGCCAAGAAAAGTAAAGTCCCATTCAACCTGGCCTTGTGTGCCTCCAGAAATGGAACATCCGCACCTTTCTTTGTTACATTCTGCATTTTGACTCTGCTGTGTGACAGGCATGATGTGTACTGTATGATATGTCGTGTCTCCTACTGGCCATTCCAAGATGAGCGGCAGTCTTTGTATTGGTGCTAAGAGGATTTTCTATTTACAGCTTGGTGGAAGCTTTTCATAGTTCTTCTGATTCCTACATTCTTCCATGTATATCCACTGTGTTATTGGAACCATAGTTGAATTATCAGCCTAAGACTGTAGACTCTACATATAAATCGTTAAAAAAATGTGTAACTAACGTACCGGTGTATGAAAACTTTACACACACACATATGCTCACATACTGGACAAAGATCTGAATTCACTGCTGAATAGCCTTACTAATCTGCCAGACTCTGCAGCCCATCAGTAGCTCTTGATAAATCAGCTTTTTAAAAGAAAAAATTTTGGAACACCCTTTAAGAAACGAAAGCACAGGATTGAAAAGAAACATTTTAGAACTAAGAGAAAAAGCACACAAAGAAACCATTTTGCAAAAGATTTGGAGAAATCATTAACTCTGCTCCTTCCCCTGCTGAAAAAAAGTTGAAATACAAATTGTCAGTGTTCTCTTCAAAGGTTTGCAAAAGTTCAGCATGTGACAGGCCAACCAGTGTAATTTTTTCTGTTCATTCATTTACAAAAATAAACAGGAAATTTTGCATTTTCATTCCATCCAGCAAAGTCCCATTACAGACCTTTATTATGTTATGGAGGTTTTCCCCATGTATGCAACAAAAGCACACAGGCACATATGTTGTTCTATCGGCTGAAACAAGTGTCTGAACTTGAAGTTGGGTCACTTCTACCAGCGAGATCATCAATCAATTCATTGTAGTCAGAGTTTTGAGAAACAATGTGTTTCTGTCCAGATGGACAGCTATGCTGTAGCTCTTCCTGCACTCACGATGTGTGCCACAAGCTTTCTCCATGGGCTTATGGAAGAGGCCAGGGAGGGAGGAGGAGCATAGGTGTAGTGTACTCTGGCTGATTATGGAATAGCTTAGGAATGTGGGATACACCAGCAAAGCAAATCGGGTTGGTTGTCAGTGATGTCAGCTAATACCTTTGCCAGTAATGCCTGATGACTGCTTGCTGTATTTCTAATAGGTTAACATATTTCTAGCAAGTTGCATTTCATTTTTAACGGTGCATTTCTTTAAACAAGTTGAAAACAATTTTTATTTGCTGTGGGAGAAATAACCTTGTTTGGAGTGACTCTGAAAGCTGTAGTAGACTAGTCCTTTTGCATCAGAAAAGTGTGTGTGTGTGTGTGTGTGTATGTGTGTGTGTGTGTATGTGAAAGATTTGTTTTGGGAACTCCATCCAGTTGTTGCCCTCTTCTTTGCATTCATACACCTGCAACAGAGTCATTTAATCGTATGTCCCCATGAACAAACACTGATGTCTATATTCTGCAGACTCCTACTTTTGTACCTCTGCCTACTTTTACTTTATAGTGAGGATACTCACAACCCTCTCAGTTGTCTGTATCTATTTTACTTCTCTCTTGAACCAGGGATGCCTTTAATTACTGTGTGCATAGTATTTTAACTGTTAAGTTTGAACTTTTCTTCCCCCTTTCTTCTGCTGCAAGAAAGCAGAAAAATGTCTGCAACTGTCAACAGAGGTAGAGACATACTGTATTTCCTCCCACTTCGAAAATATAATTGAACTAGT